GTGAACTCTGGCATAGAGAAAATTGCCCTGGATTGGGTGGCTGGCCCCAGAAGCCTTACATGGAGTCCTGGTGGCCTCCCAGGGCTGCTGTGGCAGCTATACAGGTGCATAGGCTTGGCCAGCGGCTAAATCATGGCTCTGGCTAGCCTATCTCTGGTTTTGGGTGGTGCACACTGCTGCCACATGTACCATGCTGCTTTTTTTAAAACCCTTGTTTTTAGATACTGGGATATCCCAGTATCTAATTTTGGCTCTGTAATGCAAATATGCAGTGCAGAGAACCTTTTGATGTGCACTGCATGCATTCTACAGTGCCTCAAAAGCCTTTGAGAGGCTACAAAGCACACATACACGCTTGTCTGTATGCACCCACTGTGGACAAAGTTACTTCTCAGAATGTAATTAGTATAGGTTACATCAGTGTGGGCTGTGTACCCACTGTTCTTGTCAATTTTTTCTCTAGGTACCTGTTTGCTCAACAAAAATAAGCTGCCCCCTCCCTACCTAGGGGCAAAGACGCTGGTATTAGTTCCTTCTGTAGACAGATCCTTCTGGAGAGCTGGATGTGCGTCTACCTCTGACCTGTGTAATTTTGCTCCAGAGGAAAATTCTCATGGTCTATATTTCTTAAGCCCCTTTATTTGGATTCCTTCTTTTTCTTTCTCTTCTATTTTGTATTCTGGGGCTAGAAGAAAAATTTACTATAGAAAAGATTTGGAGCTGAGGATTTAGGTATAACCTCAGCTCCTTGCGCTATGCTATCATGACAAGAAAGGAAACGAAGTGGAGGTATGAGTGAGTATGTGGGACTTGTATTCTTCTGCCAGCCTTGAAAGTTCTTTGGCTAATTGTTTTCAGTAGGTGAGGCTGTAATATTTCAGATAAGAAACTTATTGTAGTGGAAGATACACAAGACAAACCACATAAATGGAAAAACTTATGAGTTTTTACTCCTGTTTGCCCTTCATATCATTGCTTTCTCTTCTGAACTATTATAGATAACCATTTATCTGTCCTTAATTTTCAGATGACAGTCCAGAACTAAGTTTATGAATTTTTTATTTATTTCATTCTTCACCTTCTTAAAGTGAGTTGGAAAGTCACCATTACTTATAGAAACCATAAGTTAACATATTTTGGCCATAGATCAAATATATTTGTGATTACCAGTTGTAAAATTAACACAATGTAACAGTCTTCTTGCATATAATTTCTCAGGAAAATATATTCACTGTCCCTATTCTCTTTCAAAATTCAGTAAATCAACATTATTTAACCTTACAGGTTAAATGTATTTATCATTTATTTAAATTTAATTAAAGGTTATCACCCTGGCTCTCAGAAACAAAAGTTGAAAAGTCAATGTTAAAATGACTAGAAGCACAAACTTTTGAACATTTCAACAATAAAGTAATAAGAGAGAACACAGTGCACATCAGTTGCCATATTGGTGACTTCAAATTTGAGCCAGGCTTCATGCCCACAGCTAACTAACATTGTGTCAATAACTGAGTAATGCACACTCTGAAGTGGCTTAATGTATGCCTCATTCATTTTACTTTTCATTCTTTTTTAAAAGCACTGTTACAAGAATTCGTTATTACATTATGTATTGTCTGCAGTTTGATAGCACCTGAAAGCCCAATCCAAGAGAGATATCAATTTTGTTATCCTTGGATAAGGTAGTCTTTGGATAATGTACTCTTTCAATATGAAAACCAGCTCCTCTGGTTTTCATATTGATACCCCTACAAGACAATATCTCCCTCTACTATTATGGTGTCTAAAGTTTTCTGCCATTTTTAAAAACAGATGAAACCGGCAGAAAAGTCCATTCACTGAAATTGTGATTCAGCCCCATATTCTGCATGCTAAACTCCCCCATGAAGAGTGTTTGTCTATTGTAATTTTCCAAATTACAAATACTGTAATGCAGTTTCCAGCCTCTCATAATTAATCACAATTCCTTACAGCAGTATTAATAACGATAACTATTTGGGCCAGTAATGGACTACAATGGACACCAATGTTCTGTCCTTCTTGTGAATGAATCCAAGATTAGTTGCTTGAAAGGTAATGTCAGAAAAACAAACAAGGACTTCTTTGTACTGATTAGTGATAAAATGTTGCTTGGTAGAATGTTTTTTCTCAGTCCTTTTATTTTGCTGTTTTGTTTTTTTAAAAGCATTGCATCACTTCTTGATCACTGCTAACCAATTTCATTTGAGTTGCAGTCTCCTTTCTTGTCAGGTACTATAGGCATTATTTAAAATCTACTTTACATTTAGCAAAATAAAAAGTAGATTTCTTCTATACTCAAAAAGCAACCTCTTTTTTTAATAGCAAATCCTGAAGTAGGATACCTCCTTGAACATTGCTGGCTGTCACACTTACAGAGATTCTCCACACAGAGGGCAATCCTATGGTTCTTCCTGTTGTAAACGTAAAACATAGTTACTTGAATGTCTGTTTAAATCAGGACCACATGTTGATGAATACCCACAATCTATACTTTATGAATAATTACTGTCATCTCCAGAACATTTATATGCACTCCAAGTGCCATGGATATTGTGTTCATTTGTATTTGTGGTCCAATTTAATTAGAGACTATCCATGAGCTTCCAGCAAACCAAAGCAGCTCTGAGGTCCTTTTGCCATCAGTATGTGGCATGAGCACATCTCTCTAGCTTGTGTTACCTGGAGTCTCTAGGCCCACTTTAGTCACCTCATTGGAAGTATGTTATGGCTATGACAAATCTTGTTGTGACCTTTACAACTAGCAGCCACAGTACAGGCTTAGTTGATATCTGCTTGCTGTAGTAAAATTAGTCACATAATATCCATGGCAGAGAGAAAGGGGGTTAATGAACAGACAAAAGGGAGTTCCCTTAATCTTCTGAATTTTTGCTTCCATGTTTTCTTAAAGGCACTCTGTCCTGTGCTTAGCAAATGTATCCTGTATCCTTCCAAATGAAGGCCCACATTCTGGCAGTTTAGAAGCATGAAATTCATGCTGTTTTACCATGGGTGAATCCATTTCTGCTTTCTGGAATATTATAAATTCCACCAATCTCGACCGGAAAACCCTCTTATGGAATGTTACATCCACATACTTGATTGTATACTCTGCTAAAATATGTTTTTTCTTAGAAAACAGTATATCAGAATGAAATGTTTTCTGTACCTTCAAAAACTCACCCAAAATAAGATATACAATCTCAGTAATACTGTAGGAACAGCCTGATCTGGCATCTTATTTTTCTCTGGAAAGCAATTTCAGTTAGCTTAGCCATGTTGTACAGAATCTAGGGGAGATGCTGGTCCACCAGGATTCAGTCATTTTGAGGGAATGCATTGCTGACTGTTGTCTAAAAATGACTGAACTGGAATGTTACAAAGAGGGCTGAAGTGCAGAGATTGGACTGCAAGCAATGTACATTTAATCTAGGCAACTGAAAATTTCACCCACTTCAGGGGAAAAAAATCCATACTCAAGAGTAGGACACCTCTGGAGTAGACTCGGAAAATACCACACACCCACTCATTTGAAGTGAATAAGTTTCTTGGACAAACAAGTACCAGTTCCTTCATTTTCATATCAATAAAGAACATACAGATACACACCTTTATGAGGATACTTTAAAGAACAATTATTATACTTACCTGTACTTTTATTGTTATGGTGACTATACATGCAATGTGAAGAGTCAATAGCAATGTAAGAATAGAATGAACCAAACATTAGCCCACCCAATTATATAATCAAATAACTGTAGATACAGCTTAAGACAGAGAAGTGAGAGAGGAAAAACAACATCAGCTCATGCCCAGCTTTGATGCAAATGAGATATTTTTAGTTAAGCTCCTCCTTCTCGCAGGAATAATGCAATAAATTGAACATGAATTTATTTAGCCATGTTTGAAAGGATAAAACAATCTCAAAGTATTATCAGGGCTAGCTCTCCACAATAAAAGGAAACTTCACCAAAAATTTATGATCTTTAAAGTATCTGGCAGACAACTGTTCACCAGTAAAATCTCCCAATCTTCAGTTTAATTTAAAGTTTGTGCACACGTGCAGGTTCGTGACAGGAGTCTTCGTAGCACCATCTGGTGTCTGCCAGCTTGTAACTTGTGAGAACGCATCAAGTGCAAAGTAGATTCAGTTCATGGCCTCATGGGAAAGAAAATTTATAACAGGCGCCTCCACACTGACTCAGAAGAATATTAGGCAAGCTGGAATGAACATACACTGTGGTAATGTGGTTTTCATCAGCAGATGTGGAACATACTCTTAACATATATACAGTCATGTCACATATGTTCCACCTGCCTGAATATGCAGGAGGAGGAGGATGGGAGCATGGGTATGTCTGATTTAGCCAGATATGGAATATAAAACTAATACATACCAAATATTTGCTCTTTCAGTACAGATTGAACTTAGGCTATCTTAACTATATTTCAGCTGGATGATACTTTAACAACCTTCAGGTTATATGGTATATGAAAAACTTCACATAATGTATACTTTTCTTGTAAAACATATTGAAAAGATATTCAATATAGCCTTAAGAACTAAAACACTAATTTTTTATTTTATTTTTTTTTTTT